ACTAAGGACTGAAATGTCAGCGTACCTGCAGCATACAGTACTTTGAATGATTCAAAGAAAGGAGACAGAGAGGAGAGAGACTATGAATGTGACAAAGTATTAACAACTAATAAATCTAGGTAAAGGAGAAAGGGTGACATGTGTGCTAGTGCTATTCTTTCACCTTATCTGCTGGCTTAACATTTTCGCATTGTCTGGGACAAGGCAGCGGTCGGTGACAAGGGTTACCACGAACACTGCCCACACTCAGACTCTCCTCCCTGGCTCAGTCCCCTTCATTGACGACACACCAGCCACGCCGTCTCCTTCCAGTCCCTCAGACACAGCAAGACGCCCACCTTCACCACCTGCTTTGCTGACGCTCCTCCTCCCGTTCAAACCTCAACCCAGCCCTAAGGCCAAAGGCCTCTGTTATGCCTCAGCAGGCAGGGAGGTACCCATTATCTTCTTCACATCACTTTGCAGTTCTTCAGACTAATACTGACTTAAATGCTTATAAATACAATTTTGCGCGTTTTGTTTCTCCATACAAGATAAGCTACAAGTGGGCCAGGGTTGAGCTCAGTGCTTTCACACTGCCTGCCTCACAAGCGCAAGGACCCGAGTTAAATCCCTGGTACCCCCCTGCAAAAAAAGATAAGCTACAAGACAAAATTCATAGCTGACCTGTACTCTGAGCCTTCTATTTCCTTTTTTCCCATAGCCTGACATGGTATTGATTCTTTTTCTTTTCTTTTTGGTTTTTTTGAGACAGGGTCTCACTACGTAGTTGAGACTGACCTGGAACTCACTGTGTAGCCCAGGCTGGTCTCCAAATCACAGTGATCCTCCTGCCTCAGCCTCCCGAGTGCTGGGATTACAGGCGTGTGCCACCACGCCCGGCAATTCTTTTTCTTCTTCAGGGTGTTTTGAGTCAGTCTCCATTTGTAGGCTAGGATGGCCTCCGACTCAAAATCGCATCTCAGTATCCCAAGTGCTGGGATTATAAAGTGAGGCCCATAAAGCTAGGGCCCAAACCAACAACAGGAAGTTTCTATCAGAAATTAACATTTCCCTAACATTAGGGTTAAGTTTAAAAGTTTGTGTTGCTATAATCCACAAGGCCCTGGTCCAATCCCCAGCTCTGCAAAAAGTGAATAAAAGTTTGTTAAGATCTAGAGAAAATCCAAGCAATGCCCCAGGAATCCAGTGAAGTTTTAATTGTGACAAACTGTAGAAAACATCTTTCTACTCTTTTTTTTTTTTTTGGTACCGGGGATTGAAGTCGGGTCCTTGCGCTTGCAAGGCAGGCCACCGAACCGGTGAGCTAAATCCCCGGCCCTACATCTTTCTACTCTTTTAACAAATTTTACTGATCGATTCCTGACCTTTCTGCCTAATTTACCACCTGTTCTCCTTTTTCTTCTACCTACTAGTTTGATCACATGCCAAATCCTATCCTCATATAAAAACCAACGGTTGGCTGCGGCTTGGCCGGTGGCCAGGGCCCAGGGCAGCGTGGTAGCTGCTCACAGATACTCCCGCAAGGCAAACACCCTGGGCCCAGGCTCGGGAGAGCAGCCGCTCACACTCACCGAGATGGTCCTCGTCCCAGCTGGAATATTTACAAGGGTACAGATGACTCTCAGATAAAACAGGATGGAGAAGCACCTGCAAGAAGAGCTGCTGTCGATGCCTCTCAGGTGGATGTCTAAGAAGTCAGTAAAGCTGAATTTGAGAAGTCTGTGAACTCAACTGGCTATTGGGGGTGGGGGGTACTGGGGATCAAACTGAGGTCCTTGCATTTGCAAGGCAGGTGGCAGAACCATCAACCTGCTATTTCACAGAGGTTGCAGCTGCTACTTGGTGGTTACCTCTTAAAGGTGCCAACTGGAGACACGCAGAAGGGCCCAAATCTACTGTTCAGCACAGGCCAGATCATCCAGTGCTCCACCTCTCCTGTCATGACGCCACAGCCTACTGCACATGGGCACAGAAATGGATCCCACAGAGGCTGAGTGGCAGTACAGGTGTCAAAGAGGCCTGCAGCACAGACTTTTCTCCTGGGGCAACAAATTGCAGCCAACACTGCAGAGGATGGCTTCCAAGGAAGAGCGCCCATTGACACCTTTCCTCCCAACGGTTATGGCTCCCACAACATAGTGGGGAACATGTGGGAGTAGACTTCAGACTGGCGGACTATTTATCATTCGGTTAGAGAAACGCTCAACCCAAAAGGCCCCCTTCTGGGAAAGACCAGGTGAAGAAAGGGGGATCCTACATGGGCCATAAGTCCTAGTGCTGTAGGTATCACTGTGCTGCTCGAAGCCAGAACACACCCGATAGCTCCGCATCAAAGCTAGGATTCCTCTGTGAGCTGGCCGCCTGCCCACCGCGGACTGGCAGTTAAGAAGATAAGAGATTCAGCTCAGTGATGCTGCTGCCTGCCTCACAAGTGCAAGGTCTTGAGTTCAATCCCCAGTACCCACCCCCCAAAAAAAGGGCCTTCCAAAATCCAAGAAGTTATTTCCAACCTGCACTTGCTTTCCTTCAGAACACTGAACAATCTTGTGCAAAGAAGGCCCACCCTGAGGTGGGTTACAAATCTGCCTAATGGCCAAAGGAACTGTCCCGCAAGACCAAATCATTGACCTATGTCAGCACATGTGCTTCACTGTGTGGTGCATCTTTGGAGATCATCCCCTTGTTTTACTCTGTGAACCTTTAAAGGAGGACTGGGAAACCAGAGAATCTTGAACGAGGCTCTTCTGAGTCCCTGTGTTCTGCCCAGGCTCTGCCACCGGGTTAGATCCCAACATCCAGCATGTCACCTGCTTTTGACAGTTTCCTATTTATTAAATGAGGAGATGGAAAACATCATCTTTGAGGTTCTTTCTAACTTACAGATTCCATAAGTGATACCAGATTTTATTCTGACTGCATAGTGAGAATTTTTCACAGATTATATTTTAGCTATTGTTCTCCATGTGTGAAGCTTGGGTGATACTAATCATGTAAAGGTTCTCTTATGTATTATTTTTCAGAAAAGGCTGTGGGGGATGAGTCCTTTACACTTATACTGGTTTGTTTTTACAAGGAAATCAGTGTCTTTTACGTTGTTATGATGAGTCCCACATGGGCCAGTGATGGTATGCTAACATTCAGTGCTCTGGACACACAGAATGTCTACGGGGTGACTCTACTGTGCTTCACCTTTTAACATTAAGTGCCCCTGGTGCAGAGGGCAGTAATAATCCCTATTTCCCTCTCTCCCCAAACTTTCTGTGAATGTGAAATGGGTACTAAATGGGGAAACTGTTTAATCTAGGAAAAAAAGAATGAGGTCTATCAACTAACTATATTCAGGGTACCCAGTATTCTGTAACAGAGAAGTTAAAAACTGTTGGCTAGGAAATGTCAGATACTTTGAATCATGCACTATGTCAAATAAACTGGCATTTCTAAGAAAAAAACCATCAGTCGTTGCCTCCTCTCTGGTTACTTATAAATCCTGGGTCATGAATTCATCAAAATGGTGAAAGAAACTGGTTGTAGAAAAGTCTGAGGTCAGGAAGGAAGAAACAACTAAGATGATGGCTTGCCCTAACTGTACAGGATAGCATGGACTCTGTCCTAAAGTTTACAAACCCTCACTCTGTCTTTACAAAACCTCTGGGCTATTTTCTCCATTTCACAAGTGGGTAAAGTAAGGCAAAGAGAAGGAAAGGACTTGACCAGTGTCACACAACTAGTAGGTGGCAAGGCTAGGGTTAAGCCAGGCCAAATGCTACTGCGCTCTCCAGCTTCCCTGTACAGGGCACCCAAGGGTGGGGCAGAGTGCTCAGCCAGCAACCCAGCTGTCCCCGACAGAGATGCACTGGAAGTCAAATGTGATGAAAATTCTAAGGGAGCTGAAAATTCACAAGTTGAGAAAGTATATGTGCAAATAATACGTTAATATGTTAATACAGTTATATTAATTTAGCATGTTACTGAGATTGAACTTTATCTTTTTTTGTTTGTTTAATTTTTTTTTTGGTACCAGGGATCGAACTCGGAACCTTGTGCTTTCAAGGCAGGCGGCAAATCCACTGAGTCAAATCCCCAACCCTGAGACTGAATTTTAAACGTGTGACTTCTTGATAGAGAAAAGAGCTAAACAGGTTATGAACTCTTAAGTACTAAGCAAGAATGCCAACAGACTCTTTCTACGAACATTGTCCCAGTAGTACACAACATGGCTTAAAATACAAAGACCTGCAGGTCAAAGCTTCCCTTGCTACAGTTCTAATACCGCTCAAATCTCAACCTTTATATCTATCCCTCACAGCTTTTAGAATCTTTTGTTTTCCCTATGACACCTCAGGATATTTTCTATAAGCATATTCTGATAGAAAACTCATGACTCAGCCAGGCATGGTGGTGCACACCTGTAATCCCAGCACTCGGGAGGCTGAGGCAGGAGGATCACTGTGAGTTCAAGATCAGTCTGGGCTACACAGTGAGTTCCAGGTCAGTCTCAACTACATAGTGAGACCCTATCTCAAAAAAATAAATAAAGAAAGAAAGAAAGAAAGAAAAGAAAAGAAAACTCATGACTCAATTCTATTCCTAATAACTGACATTTTGAAAACAGCCCTCAAAATAGAAAAATACTGAGCGCACAGAGCCAATTTTGTATGTGACACAAAATGATCTAAGCTCAACATTAAAACCATCCTGCTCTAGAGACTGCAGTTTTTATCACACTTATATTAGAATGCAAAGGCAGAAAGCCCTAAGGCACTCAACATATCAATAGAACTAGATACCACTGGAAATGCAAAAAGAGCCCTTCAACAAAAAAGCACAATATGATGTTCTATTTCTGAGTCCTGATCATAAAGATGCTGTAACAGAACGACCCAACTAAATATGCTGTTAACAGCAAAATCTCCAATGTATCACATATATTTAAGACACTAGAATTTTTAGCCTTATTAAAATACATAGCTATTCATAAAGAAGTAAGATCCTCTAACCTTTCAAAGTCACCTTGCCTTGTAAATTTTGACAACCTATACACGGCCCAGTTGTTAAGCTGTTTAGAGGTCATTCCTCTTCCATTATCCATCACTGCAACCGCAGGTTTTCCTTGTGTTTCATCAAAAAGCTACGGAACAAAGTAAGTTCAAAAGACAGGAAAAATCAGTATTTCAAACGTAAAAATTAAAATATGAACAAAGCAATTCAACAGGCTCATTGATACATTGCTGATGCTAGTATAAAATACAACTTTCTGCAGAACACTTCACAAAGATATATCTACTAAAAAGCCTTCGAATACTTTATTACTTAAATCAGAAATTCCGTCTCTCAGAACTTAAGAAAATAATCATACTTTCTGCAGAACACTTCACAAAGATATATCTACTAAAAAGCCTTCGAATACTTTATTACTTAAATCAGAAATTCCGTTTCTCAGAACTTAAGAAAATAATCATACTCTGGTGTGAGAAACCAAAAGTGGAAATACGGACTGAGATGTATAATTGACGTTGGGAAATGGGAAAAAAGTGTTCAAATGGGAAGGGGAATAAGGGAGGAGAAAGGGAAAAAGGAAAGCACAAGAAAAAAGTGAAGCTGGGCATGGTGGCGCACACCTGTAATCCCAACACTCGGGAGGCTGAGACAGGAGGATCGCCTTGAGTTGAGACCAGCCTGGGCTACATGGTGAGTTCCAGTTCAGTCTCAACTACATAGTGAGACCCTGTCTCAAAAAAAAAAGTGAAAACAGAAGGAGAAAATGGCAACAAAGCAGGAGGGAGATAAAAAAAAAAAATTTATTGAAAAAAAAAAAAAAAGAAAAGAAAAAGAAAAATCGGCGCCTGCCTCACAAGTAAAAGTTCTTGAGTTCCATCCACAGTAACAACAACAAAAAAAAAAATAGTTGGATGTGTACAAAGTCATACAAACAACATTCATCATTTCAGCACCGCTTCTAATGGCAAAATCCAGGGAATCTATGTCAGCAACTCAAGACCTTAAGCAACTTACATCCAATAAACCACTCTGCAGAAATGGAGTACACTGCAAAATGTTTGTATGTCAAAAGTGTACAATGTAGAGTTCAGTAGGTCAGAAAGCAAAATGTACACATACATGCATATACATCTGTACAGAAAAAGGACCTGCGCAGCCAGGTGTGGTGAGTGCACCTACAGTCCCAGAAGTCTAGAAGGCTGAGGCAGGAGCATAACAACTTCAAGCCTTGCCTAGGCAACTCAGCAGAATCCCGTCTCAAAATAAGACAGGACTTGGGACATAGCTCAGTGCCAAGGCCCTGGTTTCAATCCCCATTGAGATGGGTGGGGTGGGGACAGAATAGGGTCAGTGAAAAACAGTCACCAACAGATGAAGAGACACCAGACAATTATTTATACTTTTCATTTATTTTCTAATTTTTCTCTAATCAATTTATGTTATTTTTAGAAAAATGAAATTTCCTTACATATTATTTTCTTACCAATTTGATCTGTATTCTTCTAATAGCAACATTACGAGAAGTTGCAGACAATGAATTGTCAATTAATTCCGCAAGAGCAAATGCTGGAAGAGATTGAGAAAACATTACTGCTTAAACTTTTCCCTCCCAAATACTTCATATAAAAGTTCAAAGTAGAAGAAACTCTGAAGAACCTTAAAGGCACCACTCTTAATTTCCAAAGAACTAGAATTAAAATATTTTCCTGAACCTAGCAACACAACACACAATACAGGCATCATCACCAATCACAGCCAGCATAAAAAGCAGTCAGCAACTAGGAGTCGTGCGGCACTACGCAGCATGAGTCAGCCAGGCAGGGGCTCCTTGTGCAAGGACTTTGACACTCAGAGACACACAGGCAAATAGATAACTGTGAAAGTGTGTCTTAAGTGCTTAATCTAGGGAAAAAATTTTAAAGACCAAGAGAAGCTTGTCAAATGGCAGAACATGTCCTCATAACTGACATAACTGACTTCCTACCACACGGAGAATTTAATATTCACTGGCTCAGTACTTACTCTCTCCTTTCTTCAACACCACTACTTAAACATTTCCCATTTTTAGTCCCTTATGTTAAAAAGGCAACATTAAATTTATCTTAATTCTATAGATGTGTAACCCAACTAAAGTTATAATTAATCCACATAGCAGCACTCCAGCAAGCACTTCCAATCAGCTGAATACTACAGACAGCTATGTTTATAATCTAATCACAATAAAGTTATCACAAATCAAATATATATTCTGGTTAAAGGCAGAAAACAAAACAAAACAAAAGATATATAGGAAATGGAAAGAGAGACTTAGTTAAGAGAAGGAAAAAAATATGAATACAGTATCTAATTGTTTAGAAATCCAAGACTTTGAACTTCTGCGTCTAGAAGACTGAATTACTGATCATATTTCCCACAAAGGGAAAATACGAAAGAGAAGAAAGAAAAATTCAGTTAATGCTGTAACACCAAATCAAGTTCAGTGAATGAGGGCTTTTACACAGGGAGCTGGAGCAGATACTGTCCCTAATTAAGACACGGCAGACAGCCACGTGTAAAGCTTTGTGCTTCACTGATAAAGACGTAGTAGTTAAGGCTAGGATCCATTTGCTAAGAGAAAAGTCCAAGAAAAAAGATCACTGAGACTTGAAGAAACAGCCACCACATAGTCAAAACCAAGGAGCAGGGAAACAGAAGGAGGAAAAGACCAAGGAATGTACTATAAAGTCACAGAAATCAAACTGAGAGTTTCAAACTTGAGATTCTCTGTTTCCACCCATGACGGCAGGAACAAAGACTGATACAACAAATCCAGAAGGTAAACTCAATTTAAGTCTTTAATGGATATTAAAATGAAGTCATCTTCACCATTGTGACACAACCCAACTACTTAAACCAGTTAAGTGGTCATTGTGCAATCCCGGTGCTACGCTGCTGCCTTGGACCACTGGGAACAATAAAAGTGGTGAGCACTAGTTTCTGGCCCAAGCAAATGGAAGGCATATGGAAGGCAGAATAATGACCAATTCAGGTGGGAAAACTGTGTGGTATAGGACTCAGGGTTCCCATACCAGATGTCCTAGTTTTAGGTGCCACACGGGCATAAGATGCAAAGTGCTTGCCTAGCATGTGTAAAGCCCTGGGTTCAATCCCCAGCACCACACACAATTTTTATAAAAATAGAATTCAGGAGAAAAGTCTGGCAGTATTTCCAATATTCCACTGAAAATGAACACTTAAGCATATTTATAAAGATGGCATTTAGAGCCATAACATTGGATCACTAAAGCTAACTGGATTGGATATAGGAGAGAAGACAAAGGAAAAAAGACCAAGCCTTAACATCTAATGGGAGACTGTTTAAATAAATCATATCATCTAAAATATATGATATATAAAGATGCTAATTTTATTTTCAATCAAAAAATGTAGGTTAAAGAAGAATGTGTCAAATAAAACCGTTTTAAAAATCACATAACACAAATAGATCCAAAGTGTGAGTAGTGGTTACATCTAGGAGGTAGAGATATGCGTGCATTTTATGTTGTTTTATTTATTTTTTAAAAAAATTCCTACAAATAATAAATAATGCTTAAGATTTTTAATCTCTGGGGATTGAACTCAGGGCCTTCACACTGAGGTACACTCCCAACCTTTTAAAAGTATTTTTATTCTTACACAAGGTCTTACAAGTTACTAAGTTGCCCTGGCTAGACTCAAACTTGCAATCCTCATGCCTCAGCTTCCCAGAGTGCTGGGATTTATATGCATGTGCCACCATACCAAGAGAAAAAAACAATTTTAATAAACAAGCATACAATGAACATTTAAGTAGCACTACATTAAGCACTCTAGCATGGTCCAGTAAAAGAATGTGGAAAGACAACTGCTTTATGAAGATTGCAAGGAGACAGTCTATCAGTGGCAGCAAACCTTTCAGAGCTTTCAGTGATAACAGCTGGCTGTGGCATGTGAGCTCTGGTCTAGATGTAGGATAGAAAAGGGCAAGTAGTAAAGGGAGAAGAAAATGATAAAGGCATGAAGAAAACAGCACAAACTTATTGTACAACTCAGTTATATAAATGTACAAAGCAGGAGCTAGGGGTGCATCTCAATGCTACAGTCCTTGGATTTGATCCCAGGACTACGAAAACTAGTTAATCAATCAATCAATCAAAAATTGCAAGGTAGTTGGGTGTGGTGACTCATGCTTGTTTGTTTTGGTACTGGGGATAGAACTCAGGCCCTTGCGCTTGCAAGGCAGGCAGCAGAACCACCGGGCCGAATCCCCGGTCTGACACATGCTTTTTTAATCTCAGCACTTCACAGATTGGGACAGGAAGATCACGAGCTCAAGGCCAGCCTGGGCTACAAAGTGAGACACATTCCCAAAACACAAGTCAAAATGCAAGGTTAAAACTACTTTTGTAATTGGGAGAGGTATAGGGAGCCACGAACAATAACGCACATGAGATGGGAACACACGTAGGTACAAGATCCTTCATGCATTCAAAAGGAATGAGTGCTACTAACAAGACTGCCTTAAAAGAGTATTTTTATTCTGAAGATGACTTCAGTTGAAAAAAGGAGTAAACCATAATTAAGTTGAGAAAAAAAAAGCTCAAAACAAGTGGTCATGGTCTCCTCCAATAGTCGCGAATGCAGCTCAGTGATATAGCCCTTATCTAGCCTAGGGTTCAATCTCCACTACCGTCTTTAATAAAATAGGGAGGATTTCTACAATGAGAAGCAGCGGGATGTGTGAACGGGACAAAGGAGCGTCAGTCTGTCTAGCAGGGTGCCTGCAACACTTACGCAAAGGGTTCTGCCCTTCACTCGCGTAATACTCATACATGCCACTCTTGACCAGCGTGTCATAGTGAGGCAGGAAGTCAATCCGCTCTTTCGTAGCTGAGAGCAGCAACTGATCGACAGACTGCAGCAAGTAGAGAGTCACTCCATCTTTAACAGTTTCATCTGCAATCAAGTGCCAGATTAGCATCAGAAATGCAATGAACTTGTAATTCTGAATATGCAAATCTTACCCACGAAATATCTTTAACAAAGGTACGGGTAAACTCTCAAACAATGGATCTATAAATTCAGTTGCTTTTGTTAAATCAAATGGAACAGGGATGAACACTTCTACCTAATCGAATTCTTTGTTTTTGTTTTGTTTTGATTTTTTTTGTAGCAGTAGTAGTAGTAGTGATAGTGGGGGATTAGACCCAGAGTCTTGTTTGTGCCAGTTAAGAGCTCTACCCCTGAGCTTATACCCAACCCTTCAAAATTTTATTTTGAGAAAGGGTCTTACCAAATACTTTTAGATACACATCTGTGTGATAAGTTATTGCTCTACAGTTATATATTAAATATAAAACCACTAGCTATTTAATAGCACTATTTACTTACCAAAATTATCACAAGTAATTTCTTTCCTGTTTGTTGTTGTAATAACAAATTTTTCGTCAGGTGAAATGCCAAGTGTCTGTCCAAAGTAAGAGAAATAAAATCAATTATTACACAAAGGAAATAAATGTAACATTCAAATTTCCAAGAATGTGAAAATACTGACAGCATATTATCTTATCATCTTGCAGCAATTACTATGCTTGTCACACGAATATATAACTCAGTATTTTTAAATTCTGCTTTTGCAGGCCTAGCAAGAGCCATTTAAACCATTTAACAAGGTTTTTCTACTATCTGTCACCCAGGAACACTAGTTATTTGGACCTTTTTAACAGTTTTTAACATTATCAGGGCCCACCCAGATGAGGACATGCTATTTCATGCCATTATGAAGCACAATAACATTTATTTCATACAGATTAGATATTTAAATATGTAAAAACAAACTAGAAAAAATATTATTTTGTAACATCAATAGCCATGCTATGTAGAATATCTGTATTTAAAAAAATCTTTACATCTACAGTAATCCCTTTCAAAAGAATAACTTTAAAGCATTAAAGCAAGTTATGAATTACAATGATGAATGTAATCCTGTACTGCAGACATGTACTGATTAAACTACCTATGAAATATTTTCTTTCAAAAACTATGAATTAATGGGGAAAACTGCAAGAAACGAAAATCAAGAAGCTCAAACCACTGAGGGTGATGGTGAGCACCTTTAACCCCAGACTTGGGAGGCTGAGGCAAAAGATTCATCTGGAGTTCAGGCCAGCATGGGCTCCACATGAATTCAAGGCCAGCCTGAACTACATAGCAAGACCCTGTCTCAAAAAAACCAAATAAATAAAGATAATGATGAAAAGAAGGCAAAGATTAATAGAAAGTGCAAAAGGATAATTAATTGAAAGGAAAAAATAGAAATGATCAATGAAAATATTAAGAAAGTAAGCTGAGTGTGGTGGCGCACGCCTATAATCCCAGCACTCGGGAGGCAGAGGCAGGAGGATCACTGTGAGTTCAAGACCAGCTTGGGCTACACAGTGAGTTCCAGAGCAGTCTCAAATACATAGTAAGACCCTGTCTCAAAAAAACAATAAATAAATAAATAAATAAATAAACAAAGAAATAAAGAAAAGAAAATAAGCATCAGTCAACGTATAATGAAGTCTTAAAAAACAACCACAAAAAAGAGAGCAAGAAGACTGAGCGAACATTCTCCTTCTTTTTTCATTTAAATTCAAAAGACACATGGTTTTCCTAAATGAAACAATACAACAACACCATACAGTCAAAAGAGGTTTCTGCTTCAGGCACAAACTAGCTAATCTAGGCCAAACTTCCCACTTGAGAAAGCAGCTTTAAAACAAACAAACAGGGCCTGGGACTTAGCTCAGTGGTTCTGCTGCCTGCCTCATAAATGCAAGGATCCCAGTTTGATCCCCATCCCCCCCCCCCCCCC